TTTACTCAAACATTAACCATTCCCTTTCTGCTTCTTTTTACCTGTCTAATGCTAGCGCATCTCTCCTGAGTCCCTTCAAAGTATGTGGAGCATTTACTAAGATGCCTGGGATAATGTTAGGTAAAGAGGTTACACATGCTGACCTTACCACGTTCTGCTTACAGTCTGAGACAGTCATGGGATTCATTATTTGGGGCAATGAAAACTTTAGCTGCCCATTTTTATTACCTGTTTCCAGATTATTTAGTCTTCTCATTTGAAACTTAGGGTTTAGGGAACACAAAATGATAAATGTCTGAGTCCATCTCTTCAGTTGGATTTGAGCTAAAAATATACCCCTCCACACACACACACACACACACACACACACACACACACACACACACACATACAGATGTTTGCCTCTGTGGAGTAGATCTGTGAATGCTTTGCTCATCTCTGTAAGAGTATGTTGATGTCTGCCTTGCTGGTTATGCTGTGTTTTTACTCTTGAGATCTTTACTCTTTCAAAAAAGATGGTGTGCCTGACCCATAGTGTGTACCCAGTAAGTATGTGAAGAATGAATTATTGAATGAATATTTTATTCACAGAATAGTAATGACTGTAACTTGGAGATTTTACATAGCCCTTCCACTCAGGAATTTCTCCAATAATAATTGGAGAAACTAACTGGGTATGATAGTTCACACTTGTAATTCTAGCACTTGGGAGTTGAGGGCAGAAGGATCTCCATGAGTTAGAGGCCAGCCTGGGCTAGTGAGCTCAAGACCAGACTGAGCTACGTGTTGTCTCAAACCTGTCTCAGACCTCCTGCCAAGTAACAATAAAAATAAATAAATTGAAGAAATTCAGTCTCAATACATGAAATGAGATCTCTTACAAAGTAACATAAGAATAAAAGCCTGTAAATTAAATACATTAGTGAGCCTCATCATAGCCATAATCATAGCTAACATTTACATAGTGCTTACAATGTGCCATTTAGGGGCTTTCGTATATACTAATTTATTTAATGATTTTACATCTATAAAACATGATGTTACTTTCCTTATTTGGCAGTTGAGAAGCCTGAGGGACTGAGAGGTTAAGAATAACCTCAATACTGAGCATCAGGTGGGGCAGGGCTTAGCAACCTCACTGTCTGGAGGAAGCAGGTTGATCCATGTCTGTCCCTATCACTGAACGCTACACCTGTGGTGTATTTGTGCTGTGCAGCTCTCAGCACAGGTCATATACTGGCTGGCCATTAAGAGATAGCTGTGTTGAAATCCTCCTTACAGGACAGTGTGGTCTGCCCTGCACGGAGCAGCATCACGCCCTCCCAGAGTATGTACCAGATTGAGTCCTTTGTGTCAGCTTCTCAATAAAGACACATAAAACAAACCGGCCACTGTCATGACACTCAGTACCCTCTCGAAAGAGCCCAACAGACACTTAAAAAAAATAACTACCTGTTGTGGCAGAGAGAGACACAATCATGTTGTATACATACATACATACATTTACTCTGTGGGCATTGAGAGCTGACTCAGGTTTAGTGGTGAATAGGGCAGAGAGATTCTGGCCTGTGTGTACCTTACATGGGGACAAACAGTCAGTGAACAAATACTAAGACTTAAGTTAGAAGGAGATAGACAATGTGGGGAAAAGTAAAGCAGGAGAGGGGATCAAACTTTTAGGGAAGGAGAATGTCCAAAGGATCTCAATGTCTGGGAACCACTGGACATTTAACTGTGGATGATCTTTTAGGTTTCTTTTTCACAAAGTGGACTTGCAAATTCCCTAAAAGGCAGCCTTCCAAAAGTAGGCCAGGGTAAGCATGGCAGCGGGATGGAGTGGGAGGAGGAGAGGTGAAACTCAGCTCCCATGATTCACTTGAGATGTGACTTCACATCCAGTTAGTTTAAGTATTGATTTGGGCATTTTTAAAAAAGGTTTGTGCTATGAAGTCCAGTAATGCTTTTACTCTTTGTTCAGAGTGGCTTTAGTCTGTTTTGTATTGTTTAATTTCAATGTACATCAAGGTATGGACAGCTCTTTTGAAGAGAACAAAAGACATTATGGCAGCCATTGTTGATTTTTCTGTTTGGTTTTGAAGGCCTGTAATGCCTTCATTACTCTGTTCTGATCAGTTTTATACTAGTTTGTTTTGTATGAACTCATTCTGTGTGAAGATGTGGACAACTATTTCGGAGAAAACAAGAGACATTATGGTAGCCACTATTGATCTGTTGTCATGCTTTGAAATTCTGTGTCACTTGCATTGTTTTCGTCTGATCTGATTTGTTCTGTTTTTTTTTTACCCTTTTTAAAATAAAAAGAATTAAAAAGAAAAGGCTTGTTTGTTTTGACATGGGCTTTTTCTGTGTATTCTAGAGTAGGCTTAAATTTGAAATTTTTCTGGCTCCCCAGTAGCTGGAATTACAGGTGCACACCACCTTACTTGGCTTGATCCATGGATTTAAAGTTGTCAGAAGCTTTCAATGTAGTTGGGAAGCATTTGTGAACACTTTCACTTGTTTCATTGTATGTCATAGGAATTTTCCCCGTGTATTGAATACATGGTTTGGTAGTGTTTCAATTTAAAATTTCTGTCTATGAACAAACTTTACCATTGAGAGTCTGCAAAAAATAACATTAAACATTAGAAGAAGGCAGAATTTTTTGATAGTAAAAGCAAAGAAAATTTGCCTGGCTAGGTTAAGAACAGTATGGCTATGACTGTATTCATTAAGTTCCTTGACCAGGATTGTCTTCTGTCAAGAAAACACTGGTCAATTCTATCTAGAATTTTCTTCTCTAGAAAATTCAATTAAGAGCCGAGTGTGGTGGCACATGCCTGTAATTCCAACTACTTAGCAGGTTGCGGCAGGGTGTCGCAAATTTGAGGCCAACTTGGGCAACTTAGTGAGACCCTGTCCACAGGCAAAGGTCTGGTGGTGTAGCTCAGCACGCCCTGCATTCAATCCCCAGTATTAAAAAATAAACTTTGATTAAAGATTGGTGCAAAGCATTGTCTGCAGTTCAGACTGTCAGAAGTTGCCCTGCTTGGGGCTGGGGTCAATCCCAGTAAATCCCAGTAAAGCTCAGTGGCATAAGCACCTGCCTTGCAAGCAGGCGGTCGTGAGTTTGATCCCCGGTACCAATTAAAAAAGAATTTGCTCTGCTTTTCATTCTTGCATGCCAGACCCTAGCACCTGTGTCCCTTTGACATTGGCTCACGGAGCTGGTGACCTAATATCTAGTTCCTTTTGCGCTGGTGTGCTGGGTGCGTGTCCCAGCGTCCTGCTTAATGTGTTTTTCTCTTCTGAGTTCCTGAATGGCCCTCTAGAACCTTGATTAGGTTTACCTCTGGTCTTCACTTACCCACCTCCTCTACTTCTCTCTAGCCCCCCTCCCTTGCCGTACTGTGTAAAATAGACTGGAGAGGCAGACACTGTACACATGAACTCACTTCAGAAACCTTTAGTGACAAGCTTGCTCTGTGTACAGAAACTTGCCAGTCTTGTTATTTGTCCTCCTCCTGCACTTAGTATTGTGCTTAATTGCCCACATTTCATTTGGTGGAGATGTAACATTTAGTTTCTGTAGTGCAGTGAATTGTTAACATTCTTGAATTGATTTAATGATTTCATACCTGTTAACGAGGATTTAAAATATAGCCCTGATAATTCTCTCATTAAGCAAGACAGTCAAGTGTTTTCTAGAAGAAAATGACACCCTCATGTGACTCATGCTTTTCAAAATTAATCATTCTGGGATTAATGTGCATTGTCTCCTTTTGCTTAGCAATGCACTAATAGATGTATTGCAAGGCACAGGTGAGAAAGAGAAGAAAAAATTACTCAATTTTCAAAAGAACACAGTTGGAGTTTGTGGTCACCTCTTTGCCCTGGAGTCGTCTCTCTGCATGGGTCATCCAGACCCCCTGCTTTTGCAGAGGCCTCACCAGCAGACTCCAGATCCTCACCTTCCTTTCTCTAGTATGGATTTGTACAACAGCTCATTTTCACAACTGTCCCTGAAGAAGATGGAGAACTACTTCTTCCCAGTGTCTCAAAGAATTTAGTAGAGGGGGTTAAAATGTAGGTCAGTGTTATGGATTAAGAACTGGTGGTCAACTTAACACCAGCTGGATTACATCAGCATGGCATTGAGCGAAGATGCTTCACCTGAGGAAAGCTGCCAGGATAAATAGGTGGAGAAGAAGGGAGGTGTTGAGGTTTGAGGCAGTAAGGAGGCATTGTGGGTTCTCCTACGAGTTGCTGAGTTGCTGTCTGAGTTGTTGGTTCTCCTGGAGAAGCCTTGGTCCTCACATCAAGCATTGCTTCCTGGCACCAGAGGGGAAGACATGTGCTGCGTGGTCTCCAGGATGAGCTCGTCACGCAGCTTCCTGGCGGGTACCCGACTGTGCTTGTCGTCGGAGGAGCTCGGGGCCTTCGTGTCGCTGAGGATGGCTGTGGTGCCTTTCAGGATAGTCCCGGTCTTTGTTGTGAGTGTGACTTCTTGGCTCCAGCGTAGAACCCTCATCCCACTAGCACAGCTCCTTCATCCTGCTGGCATAGACTTTCTAGCTTCCACCGCTGACCCTTGGGTCTTCCCGGCACAGATCCATAAAAGAAACTGGCGTGAGTCCTTCTCGTAGGTTCTGGACCTCCAGTTGGACTTGTGGGAGGCATTGTCCTGAGCTCTGGGTTTTTATCTGGACTCATGTGGGACATTGCTGTGGGGTTTAGGCTCTTGACTAAATAATCTATGTCTTTGGTGTTGCGGATAGATTTCCTGCATTTTCCTGTGTTAACTCCCGGTGACTATTATAAAAATAATATTATAAACTCCTCTCTTGATCCTGTTGTTCTCTGTGCACAACCACTGACTACAATACTCAGTGGTAAAGCATGTGTTTAGCATGTGCAAGTCCCTGAGTTCAGTCCCCAAAACTTCCCTCAAAAAAAAAAAAATGGTGGCAGATTCTTTTGATTATATGGGATGCTTTCAGCTGTGTGTAAATAGTTCTTAATTGATTTGAAAATTGTATTTCATCAGTAGATAATACACTTCATTATACCAATAACTTAAACAAAAATGTGGATACAGTGTGATTTAGCTTGTTTAATTTTCAGGAAGGGAATCCAGAATAAAGTTCAGGAATGAAAACGAGGATGGGATGCTCACCATTTAAGGTATTTGACAAGCATTGAATAGCTAGGCTCTGTTAAGACCCACGTCAAGGGCTTGTTTCTTGAAGATTCCTACCCTAGCTGGGAAGCCAATACAAAGATAGGGTAGTAAATAACAGAATAGAAAGTGTTGTAATATAGGCACAAACCTAATAGGAGGGCTGGAGGTTGGAACTTGAGAGAGGAGTCTGATTTTCTTAGAGCAGAGAAGGTGGAAAGAACAGCTCATTTCTGTACTCTGAGAGGCTGAGGCAGGAGAATTGCAAATTGAAGCTCAGCCTGGGCAACCCAGTGCTTTAGTGCGACTCTAACTCATAGTAAAAAGGCTGGGAATGTAGCTCAGTGCAAAGGCCTTGAGTTCAATCTGCAGTCCTTTTTTTGAAGACCAGCTCACACCAAGGGCATGAAGGTTGTCTGCTCCTTTTGTCTGGAATGCAACGTATGGGAAAAAGGAGATACAGTCCTGAAGTAGTAGGTCACAGCTAAGATGTGTGTTAGGCTCTGGAGTGTGGTCTTGATCCTGTAAGATGAAGGTGGCTGGAGCAGTTGTGAAAATATAGACTGACACTAGTAGGGGGAAGCCAAGGGATTGTGCCTCAGTCTCCCAGCCAGGAAGACAAAGACCTGACTGCTGACTCCCCGACCTGGTGACCAGTCTGCTGGAAATTAGCCCTTCTGCTCAAAGGTGTTTTTTTGTTTTGTTTTGTTTTTTGTTTTTAAATTCATGAGCTCCTTAATAGGGAAAAGAACAAATGGAGAGAAAGGCAAACAGGAAAAATTAAATGAGCAGATGTTGAGTGAAAAGGCTTTTTTGTCAGCCCTCCTTTGAGGCAAATTCATTAGTGAGATTGGAGAAACTTGCAGTTTAAATGGATTTGAAACTGTTTTGGTTTGTCTGCCTCCAATCCATTTCCAGTTTCTATGAACTGACAGGAAAGCTGCCTCTCCTCGGTTGAGAAAAGCTAATGAGATTGCTGAATCAGGCTTTCAGAGTAGGTGGCGTTGCCTGCCCCGCCCATAACACCTTGGTGTGCAAGTGGTTCATGAATCAACTTGTTGAAGCTTTCTTACTTGTTGGAGCACTTTAAATAATCCAGGCAGAGCTGTCTTCAGCAGGAGAAAGTGAAAATGGCCCCGAGATGTCTAACCCCTCACATAAACAGCATAAAATGTATATGCACTCGAATTGATTTCCTGGTAATAATATGCTTGTCTTTCTTGGTGATGACTGATCTTTGAGACTGAAACAAATAAAAATAAGTTACATCGGGGGAAAAAAAAAAGAAAAAAATTGCCAGGCTATTTTTTGTGTTAGATAGTTTTAAAAAATAAAAAAAGAAAATTGTTTTTTCACTTACTGGGAAACATACAAATCACATTGTGGACTGATGTTTCCTTAGTAGATGAGTTCTGTGGTGTGATGGTGGTGATTTGGTTAGCAAAAAGCCCCCCAGTGTTCTTCACCTTTGGAGAATACTATAGCTGCCAAACCAGCTCTTAGCAGAGTACATGGTGTTCGGCGTGTGTCAGGTTTCTTGCCAGTGCTTACGCCTCTTCTTTTAAACAGCAAGATCATCCTGTCGATGATTGACTAACAAAGACTGTACCAGAGTGCAACAACCATGAGGCAGTAGATGCATCTGTAACTCGGTGCCTGCCCAAATGCCAGTTTGCTCCTCTCCAAGTGGCGAAACAGGAAGTAACATCCCATCAGGAAGAACCTGAAAGTGCCATCCAGTAGCTTCGCCTCACGTCACAGATTGCCCTCAGAAATCTTGATTTGCAACTTTCCAGGGTGGGTCTGTGAAAGAATTTCAAAACGTACACATAGCTGAGACACGTTGCTCTCTGATGAGAACAAAGCTGACTGCAACACTGGAAACTTCGCTCTGACTATTCTTCACAAGCAAGGAGCATCCTTTGCAGACTTATATTTGAGAAAGGTAGGTGCCGTCTCACTGATACTGCGTGTTTGCGTTGGAGAACTTACAAGCAAGTTGGCCTTCGCCTCTGCTCTGTGTATGTGTACATGCCACAGGGGTGGGCGGGAGAACATGAAAATGCCACTGCTTAAAAGAGAGTTACCTCTGTGCTGTTTAACAGTGGAAACCAAACGTTGAGCGCAAACCCGTGCTTCTGACCTGTGTTATGTGCTGTTTAAGTACTTGAGGCTGATTCATTGAAGAATGGGGAAAACCGAGAGGAGGCTGAGTGCTCAGCATAGCTAAGTTCATCAGCAAAGCCTGACGCGAGGTAAAATAAAAAGGGTAACCCCGGATTTTGGTCAGGAGACATGCCAAAGGGCATTTCAGACCACTTCATAGTGCCTTAGATTTAAGGTGAGGTAGAACTTGCTCAGCTCGTGGTGACAGACTTTCTTAGCTGGTCCTGACTTGAGAGATGTAGTATGTGATGTTATGCCCAGAAGAAATTAGCTGATCAAAAACTGCCAGGCTCATGCAGAAAAACAAAGCACAACTTTGTTTTTTCTAATCCAAGGAAATGTTTGGCAACTATTTTAAGCATTTTTAGTTTCGGAAAATCTTTACATAGAGATAGCAAATGAGACCTTTGGGACTCCCCAGATGATGAATATTAATTTATTCAATAATCAGTAGTTGTTGCATTGCCTAGACTGCCATATGCAAGGGTTGAGAATTTTAAATTTTACCTTTTCACTTCTGCCCCCATGTCCCACCCCCTTTAAGGAGAATTTCTTCTTATAATTTCATTAGTAGAATTGCTGGTCAAAGAGAGAAAGATATATATTCATCTTGGAAACAATTGTGTGGTCCTTCTATTAAAAATATTTATGTATTTTAATAAAATATTAATTAGTGTACATAAGTTTGAAGATAATTTGGATTAGCGATTTACTTTTATCATTAATAATGTATTTTTATAGTTTATTAGTTATCATCCACATCTGTTATTGTATGTATATGTATTTTCATTTAATTCAAAGAGATGGAGCTCGTAATGTACAGTTTTAAGATGGGAAAGTTTAGATTTAGTGAGATTTAGCATAGCCTGGAAGGGACAATTCAAAACTTCACTGCTTTTTTACATACTCTGAGATACAATGTTTGAGCTCCTTTCATTCTTACCTTATTCCAAATACCTTCCAGAGTACCTGGCATGTGGAGGAGTTGCTAAATCCATAATAATATTCAAACATTTTAACTATGTGTCTTATAGTAAAAGACCAGAAGTCAATCATAATTTACTTTCTACTGTTTGAGTGTGGTATGTGTTGAAGAGAACATGGACCAGAAAGACAGATTTACATGTGAATTGTAGATTCCTTCAAAGAAAAGTTTGCCTGGAAAAAAAAAAAAAGAATTGTAGATTCCTGCTACTATTATGACCTAAGCAAGTTAAGTTTTTCAAATTTTAGTTTCTTTATTTATAAGTCAGTCATTATAATATCCAACACATAGGGTTTTTTTGTTGTGACGAATAAAAAACAGGGTATGCTGAGTGCCTTCCTCCTGACCTGACAGTGATAGGCTCTGGATAAATAATATTTTTTTGCATTTTGATGAGCACATTTTGGTACACTAGATCCAATTCTAGGCACAGGAGTGCAGTCAGTGAAGAAGGCTGGCAAGTCCTTCCCTCATGGTAGGCAGGCACTGTCCATCGCTCTACTGTGTTATTACATCAGAAAGGGACTTATTTTGGAAATCACTTTGTAGTTATTGAGATCCTTCTTTGTGGAACTGATCCCCAAACCATAATAACCAGACCCCCCCCAAAAAAAAACAGTAGATTTTTTTCCTAAAAGTCAGTTTGAAGTGCTCCTCATGGTAAAGTGACATATTAGGAGAGATAATATTTTTAAACAAACACGCACACACACACACATACACACAAATGTGAGTTTTCCCATGTTCCCAAAGCCATAGCAGAAGTGTTACCAGGAACTGGTAGAAGAGACATGTCAGGAGGGTGGCTGGAAGCTCCCTGAATGGTCGTTTCTCTCAGAACAGAGGATTGTGTAGCAGTCATTTACTTACCTTGTGCCTCAAGCAATCTGCATGACAGCCTGGGGCTTCCTAGGGCCTGCTTAGTGTGAATTGAAGGATTTGATACAAAGATGGGCCTAGAGGTAGGTACTAGCACATGTATATGTATGTATGCGTGTATATACACATATTTATTAAGGTGGATGTCAGACAAGAATGTTTGACTGACTTACTGGCAAAATGCCTGGAGTCAAGTTCATTGAATAGATCAGTTGGCATCAAGATCAGTGTTTTTGGCAGTCTGTCCCTAGCCAGATCCTGAGGCTCCGTGCAGGTCATAGCAGAGAAACAGGAGGGAGGAATGCACAAAAGCTCCCTTTGGAATCGGATGTACTTTATTCTTCTTCTCTTGGAGACACCTGTACACTAAACACATTCACTTTCTTTATACAGCCCAACTTTGTAATTTTGCAAGGGATGATCAAAATATATGATCAGCATTTACATTTAAAAGATTTATTATAGAGGACATGTTGCCATTAATTCTTTTCCATTTGAGCACACTTATCCCATTATTCTTGCTACTTCCTTATTTTATTTTTATTAGTACATTTTTGTTAATACATGTTTATTAGGACACATTTAGTTTTATTAGTACATATTTTATTTTATTGGTACATTTTCTTTTTATTAGGACCTTCATCATTAAGAGCTGGTACGTGTATCTTTTTCCCTCCACTCCTCACCTGCCTCCGTCTGTTAGCCTCTTCCCTTTTGCAAAAGGTCTGTCTCCCTGTTTCTTCTCATCTGTCCTTTATTTTGTTATTTATATTTTGAGTTTCTTAAATAGGAATCATAAGACTTTTTAATCTTACTATGTAAACTACCTTAAGATTTGTCCTTATGTATGATAGCAACGTAAATTAAGCTAAAACCTTATTAAAATAGCCATTATTTATGTATAACTCCAGTTGACAAGTAAATGTGGTTAAGAATCTTCAGCCTTTTCAACATCGGAACAGCCAAAGTTTTCCACGAGGCTTTTTATTGATAGTGGATACAGGTTAAATATAAATGAAATTCATGATCACTGTGCTTCTAAAGCAGTGAAATTATTTCCAAAGTTCGTTGTTAATATACACCGAAGTCTGAGAAAACTCGTTAAAAAATAGAAGACAGCTCTGATGAGGAGTTGACTTGAGTGATCTCTGAGTGATCACCTGTCTTAGAAATTGTACATTTCTTCTCTCTGTCCCTGCATGTTGCTCAAATATAAAGGGTTTTGGTTTGTTTTGGTAACCATTTCTTCTTCACTTTTTGGCTTGCCTGTCACTGAAAAGTTTGTGCTGTTGTTTGGTCTATATAAATTTGAATTTAATGGGAAGTTTCCTTTGTATTGTTTTCCGAATGATGTCTTTTGTTTTTATTTTGTGGCGCTGGGGACTGAAACCAGGACCTCACACATGGGAAGTGTGTGTAGTACCACTGAGCTGCACCCTTAGTCATTAGGAAATGCCTTATAACTAAGCTATTTGGCCAAAATTCACAAATTTCCCTGCTCAAGATTGGTATAACATGCACACAAAATGAAATAAATATTCATGTATTTCTCCTTCATGGGAGAAATGTGAAATTCATAGACAAGGTACATATTTAGATTATTTGAAGCGATAACATATTAAGAAGCTTGAAATAATTTTTATTTACTATATCTGTATTCTTAGTGGTTCTTAGTGACAAAAAATCATGTATGATACTCCATTTAATTTTCTGTGGAGTATTATATACTGGAACAAGGTCTATTATAAATTTAATTTTATTGGTATACTTTTGATATACATTCAAAATTTTGAATATACATTTTAATATATATTGATATATGACATTCATCATAGGGAATTTGTACCTGTACCTAATATATCTCGGTTTTTCTATTTCCCCCATTTCCCTCTCTTCAGCCATTCTTCCCCTCTTTATCTGCAAAAGTTTGGTTTCTGTTTTTTTTTTTATTCTATTTCTTTCCTTTCCCCTATTTCTCTTCTCTCTCCCTCTTTCCTCCCTGTTTTCCTTCACATTTGAGTATTTTCTTCCTACTTCCCAGTATCTATAATTGATTTACCCTTTCAGTTTCACAAGAGAAACAGTATGATATACGTGTGTCTCGAGTTGCATTCATTAACCTAAAAATGTTTCAAGTTTATCCTTCTTTGTGGCATAATAGTACTTCATTGTATGCAAAAACCACATTTTCTCTATCCATTCTCTATTTATGTGCATATGAGTCATTTCCAGGATTTAGCTATTACAAATTGTGCACTGGAAACATGTTCATGCATATATTGCTGTGGTATGATGCTTTTAACTCTTTTGAGAAGATCATAAGAGGAATAGTTGGGTTAAATGGAACCTCTAGTTTGATTTTTTGAGGAATCCCTATAATGATTTCCATTTTGGTTGTACCAATTTACATTCCCACCAACAGTGGAGAAGAGTTCCTTTTCCCCCACAGCCTCACCAGCATTTGTTACTGGCTTACTTCTTGATGATGGCCATTCTTTCTGGGGTAAGAGGGTATCTCAGTGTTGTTTTAACTTTTCAGTGTGAATTTTTCAAATGACCATTGATGTTGAACATTTTTTCATATATATATATACATATATATATATATGAAATAAAACATTTATTGATTAGATTGATCCTGACAGGCTGAACAATAAACTAATCACTTTGAGATTCAAGAATAAATTCTGACAGCAATTTTTTCAATAATGAAAATTACTTGGCTTTGTTTAATAACTAAAGTAGTTTGAATTTTTTCTCTTCAAAGTTCTTTCCCTGTTTGATTTATAATTAAAACTTTAAAAATATTCCATCTGCCGATGTGGGGAAAAAACTTTAAATTGTAACAGTTTTTATTTGTAATGTGCACATCACAGGATCATTGGCATATTCTGCTTTGGATTGAAGTTGATAGT